ATGTATGTATGTATGTATGTATGTATGTATGTATGTATGTATGTATGTATGTGTCGCACAACGCTTTCTTAGAAAAGAATCGACAAATGCATAACACGTTGACAATATTGGTGAGTGACGGAAACGGGTACCAACCGATAGGGACTGATAAGGAGTGTTGTTGTCAACGTCGCTCCTCATGGCAGTAGGGATTTCACACTGCCGAGTTTCGGAGGTTTAGGAAACTTCGATGACAGGTGACAAGTAATGATATCAGTTGGTAAGAATAGACAGGCTATCCTATATGTAAGGTGGACCTTGAGCGAGGTAGGGGGCACATATATGGGCTTGAAACGGGTGAAAGCAAAAATTTTGTGGAAACCAAATACACTCCCTGCTGTGTTGAAAAAATCGAAACAAAGGACAATGCGTAGGGAGAGGTTGGTTGTAAGCAATTTTGAAAAAGGAAGGGAAAGGCTTCAGTGCGAAAATACGCTTTCGATGGTGAGCTGAGTGAATCAAACTCTGGGGTTGATCAGTACTCTTTGAGTTGCGCCGTATATTCAACTTCCAAGTATCAACGTAGTAACGCATTTTCAATGTGACTTGTCCATGGGAGGGGGGGGGGTGGAAGAGGTGATGCGCAAGTCAATATTTTTATCTTCCCAAAAAGATCCGTTGGCGATCAACTGACTACAAGGACGGCGGGCTTGGCTGGCCAAAACGGTGAGCTCTGGTATTTGTACTGTAAGCATCAAAGGAATCAAAGGTGGGGTCAGGTGCCACTACAGCCCTCCGTCCTAGAGACAAATTGAATGAAAGGCTGACCTGTTCAGTTTCAACAGCCATGCGATATGCATTTTGAATTTTCCTCGATGATCTCTCTAATCGCTCAGTATTCGCTATCAGTTGCTCTTCCTAGAATACACTCGTGAGATGAAATACGTTGAAAGAGCAGTTGTCAAATAGAACTCCACTCACCTGTTGGTCCATCTCCACTGCTTCATCATAAGCGAGTAATTCATCTCGATCTGCAGCCTCGCGTAGACGCTTAATGGCTTTCTCAAGCTCGCTGTCCAAAAGACGTTTGTCGTTACGATAACTCTTGACGCGAAGTTCGTATTTAGTTCGTTCAGCACTGAAACTGAGATACAACATGGGAAGTTCGGTCATAGAAAAGGTGTAATTCGACATGGTACGGCTATATCCGATCAAATAGAATACCTTCCAGCAGCTAAATCTCGCACAGCGAGTTCCATCTGCTCCAGTAGTTCAGCCACATCTGTCAGAACACGTTGTACAGCTTGCACACTGGCTGGTCGTTCTGATACTGGCAATGACGGCAAGCGAGCTATAGTTGATGTCACCTAATAAAAAGTTCAATCGATAAACTCTTGTAAAGAATTTTTTCCTGATGAAAGAGTAAAACTAGCTCTACTGCAGCTGTGAGGGGGGGGGGGCGGCCCCAAGATATGCTCGGCACAGTTCGGCGAAAGGTGAGTGCGGTGCGCAGCGCATTTCGCTGCTTTCCATTGTCGCGTCGCGCCATCAAGCAGAGACTTGTGGAATCTTGTGAAGCTATGGAGTAATACCAGTCAAAGTTCTTGGTGAGCACTAGACAAATCTTGAAAACAATATCAGTCAGCTCTCGTAAAGCAATGAATACGACAACGGGAAGCAGCGAAAGTGCAAAATGCCCCTCCCCTCACCGCACTGCGCCATCTGTTGTTGCTAGGCACAGCCATAGAACCAGAGTGCGCGGTTTACCCGTCTCAGTGCGCAGAGGAGAGGAAGGCGCTGGTCTCCAATTAGATACAATAGCGCTGTTAAGCTGTCATAAAAACGCTTCTCCTACTGAATAAAGGATAAAGTCTTCGGCATTAATTAACCCTTAGTGAGCTGCGGCACGCATTCTACTTCCATTCAGAATGCGATGTGGTCTATACAACGACTTGAGAGGGTCAGCTGATGTACAAGCCAATGTGCTTATCCTTCCAGACGAATCTGGTACTAATTTACCGTCCCCAGGGGGTAGAAGGCGTGATGGGCCTGGGCGAAAGTTGGTCCAGGATCTGGTCCTCGAACTATGCGCGGGTAAGCGTGCCATTTCCCCACTATACTACCTCTACCCGACAAAGGTGAAAACCACTGAAAGCGGTAGTTTTACAAATCAGTCGAGAAATCGGAAGTATCGCGATGGGACCGCAATTGTAAACTCAAAAACATCTCAAAAACTTTACCAACATTCAATGCAATGAACTCAAGTGTTTGCGGTAGCAGGGATGAAGCGTACTTCCCTTACATAAAGCAAAACTAATAAAAGACTTACCTCAGCTGTTTGAAGAGAATACTGCTGCTCGAATTCTGTTAAAGTCGATGTCGATACACCGACTAACGACATCTGTAGAAATCCGAATGAGAGATATTACAACAATAGTTCATTTTGATGAAGTATGGCGATAAGACGCTTGCAAGAGAAGAAAAACTGTTTCTAGGAAAATTCATTCAAGATGCAAAGAAACAGATAACAGAAAACAATTTAACTGACTAAATTACTATTACACGCTATTACTATGATCTATAGTGAGCGTATGCTCTATTGGCTTCGCATGTCTTGTGCAGCTCCTGCTTGGCTTGTATCGTCAGCCCTTCGTTCTGGCTTGCTGCCAGTAACTCGTTTGCTAAGATATCCCTAAACAGTCTCACGTTGATTGCTGACCTTCAGCATGTAATGGTTTGTTTCTCATGGCAGCAGTATGGATGCTGTCTGCCCAGAGATGGGCATCTTTAAACTTCTAGTAGATTGCTATAGCGCCGTATACCCTCTTTACACAAAGAGTTTGGTTAGACCACCCCAGAGTTCCTTCCATCCATAGGCTTACAACATCTTTCATCGCCTCTGCGTAGCAGCGATTTTTTTTTTACGAGGATTCCTTTCAGGCCTCCCTCCGCATTTTAGACGGTATGTTTCCGTTTTCAAAATGATGGATACGAGAGAAAAGCCCAGCAAAACTTCGAGCAATCCCCGAAAAAGCGAAAGTAAAAACTTCGTTCCGGAACGCTGGAGGTATTGCAGGACATTTCCTCCAACACGTTAGCTGTCACCAACGACTTAACTCACTTCAAATGTGTTTCTCCATGAGCGGCTTTCTGTCGGCATATGTCCCTCATCATTTTCATGGCACGGAACTCTGCCTCAGCTTTCTCGATAGGAAATGGAACTTGGTATGTAGTACCACCTGAAAGAGGTACAAGTTGAGGTCTTGAACTCATTATACTCCAACGCTGCGTAGCCGCAAACTGAACACAAATCATAAAACATCAGTCACAATCTCACGAGTCATAGTTAGAGATACAGATAAATTTCTACTCATCCAACAAGTCTTGAGGACATCGTTCGGATGGGTCTGGACCTATTCTAGGTCGAAGTAATGACGTTATTCGTGCCCTTTCACTTTCCGTTTTCTATGGCAATGATAAACACGAGAAGACGAGAGGATTCTCGAGTGCGTTTTGCCATTATCACGTCGTAGCGACGTGCGCAGTTTTACAGAGTATTTCTTGACTACTTGACTTGACGCACCGTAGTTCTGCCACGCCGAACCAATTGAGCACTTGTGCGAAACCGAGCACGTAATCCGCTTTCAAACCTTTGATGTCGCTCTCCGTAACGTATAAGTATACACCTGCCCACTCCAAGGAGATCATCCCCTAGCTTCGCCTTTCCAGCAACCCAAACAGTGTTCTTTAACACCTGTGCTGCTAGCAATCGCATCTTTACGTAATCTTCCCCATGCCTAGCCCGTTTCTTTTTTTCAGATACCTATCGCTTGAGTCCAGATCTCGTTTTTTTCAGCTTTTTTGCGCCCTTACACATCATCCCTGTCACGTTCGATATCCCATGGTTAGAGCAGTTCATACCATGATGGACTTATACTCGATAAACAGAACTTTCATCTCACCTCTGGTTACTCCTTGCAACTTCATGAGTGGATGACAATTTTTGATCGCTTTTCTAGCAATTTCGAAGGGATCCAGTTCAATCTTGCTCTGAGAAAAAAAGGAAAAGGATGAGCAAAAAAATGGCAAACGATTAAGCAAGCAAATAAAACTGTGAAGCAGTTCGTTGTAATTGCTTATTACCCTTTCCTCTTCATCCTTAGCTTTCAACCAAGCTTTGTATTGCCGTCTCTTAATAATTTCTAATGCACCATATACGTGATGTTTGATTGTTTCTTTGATACCACTATTCATACAGACTCGTACAAGCTTATCA